TTGTCATTTTTATTTCCACTTTGATTTTCAAAACTTTAACCAACATCTTTTGTATATCCAGTAAAAAGTCCTTATCAGAGTCATTCTCTTGACTTGGCATTTGTAATTCCACCTTCTCTGTCTTGTAATCCACACTTTTTTTTTTTAAATTATCCAGTATTTATGGTTCTAGTATTTCTGCATCACATTTGACATCTTTTGGGCATAGTCTATTCATAGAAACAGGCATCATTGCTGACATTTGTGATGTAGCTACTAATGACTGGCCCCATTCTTTGAAAATCTCCTGAAGTATTTCTAATGTTATAGCATTTTGTCATTTTGTAAATCCCCACATTAACCAAAAACTAAAGACAAGTTTACACTTTTTTTTCTTTTTCCTTTTCTGCCTGGAATCTTTAGTCTCCTCTAGTGTCCATTTTTTGAAATCATAGTTTCCATTTTCTGTTTTGACTTAAAATAGACAAAACAATCTGGTTCCCATGAAATGCTGTTTATTTTATTGAATTATTTCCAAAACCTTGTATTAAAAGTTTCAATGTTCCAAGGTTGTCTGGACCCTTGTTTATAACTTTCTCAGATCAAAATCTTATTCAGCATTTTGCTGTTTATTTCCAATTCTTTAAATTTTCAAACTAATAGTAAATTTTTCTTTTGTTCAAGAAGGAAGGTAAACTCACCAGGTGTCTTTTCAAACTTCTTGTTCCGAAGATCTCTAATAGCCTTAGAATAGTAAATAAGCAATTTCTGAAAGTGATTAGAAGTGAGGCTAGCGAACTCAGTGTCCTTTAAAAGGCTCCACTGCAGTTGTGAGCATGTTGGCTGATCTCTTCATCTGTATTTGTGAGGAGCAGCCATCGGGAGCACCTCTGGGTGATCTCCCATCCTCTCCTTATCCAGAGAAATTCTGAAGAACCGGTTTACTTGCAAGTTCTTTGGTTTTTGCCACGGTTGGCACCTATGTTCTTTTGGAGATGTATTTAGTTCACCATGCCTCCATCAGAAGTTGATGCTAAACTATAATCTTCACTTGATGTATAAATTCAGCCATCAGCATCCCAGCTTGAAGTAGAAAATGGAATTGTATTTGTTGACTTCAGCCTCCATTGTCACACTGAAGCCTATATGCTCATAAGTTCTCTGTGTTACTGGGATCTCAAGAAAAGCAACATAATCATTCAGCTACAACATGCCAATGCCAGTCATCATATTGGTTGAACATATAGGGGTTAGGGTTAGTGCAAGTGAGCACAATCTGATATTCCCTCAAGTGCTTAAATCTACACACAATTCATACGGATTTCTGTTGTAAACTGGTTTGAGAACGTGCATTGTTTGTTTATTTTCCATGATTATATTGTCAAATTATAAAAACTCTAGGTGGTTCCCAACAGCACAATAAAAACACAGTAAAAGCCTTGTTAAAACCACAAGATAAAAATAAACAGAACACATAGGCTTCTCATTATGCTTTCCTACGTTCCTTGTGGCAACACACTTAAAAATGTAGGTAAATGTTAACAGCGATGATGGATCTTCTTCTTCATCCTAGTATTTTCCCGCAGGTGGAGGGTCTGCTTTTCAGATCAGTGAACACCATTTCACACAATCAGACCCAGCAACCAGGTCCAACTGGATGATTTTTATGTCTGCATTAATTGTGTCCTGTCATCTTTGCTTCGGTCTTCCACATGGGCATTTGCTATCAGTGTGAAAGTGGTAGGCGGTACAGGCAACAGTGGGGGGTGCTGCTTCTAGAATGTGGCCATACCATTGTAGGTGTTTTTTCCCACATTTTCTCTGTTATTGGTGCATCACCCATCTGCTGCTGTGGCTGAGAAGGGAGACACCTAATGACCAATGGAACATGCACATCTCCATGGCATGTAAAGGGCGATCAGCACTTTTGGTGGTTGGCCAGCACTTAGCACCATATAGTGCTACTGGGCGGACCATCATTCCATCTAGTGATGAATGAGCAATTTATTTATTTTTTCTGAAGCCGCACAGTTCAGTTAGAAATGGTCTTCACTATTTCTTGAGAAAATTCACACAGTTCTTCTGTCTCAATGCTGTGTATTGTTGGCTGTTAAAATCAGACTGATAAAACTATATATGCATAATACTTTTTTTAAAAAAAGCAAATGAGAGATATATCCTATGAAGACAGGCCATTTTAAATTGCTGCTCATTATTATAGTTGTCTGTGCTTCTTTTATACTTTTTTCTAGAGACTAGTATATACTTTGATTTGTTACTGGACTAGATGATAAACTACCTTTATTTATATTTTCTCCATATATTCTTATGGTCTCTCAAGGTCTGTCCAAAGCCTAGTGCTACAATTCTTAGTTAGTAAGCTATCCTCCCCTCCCAAATGTCACACTGCAGGCCTTGGGACTAAATCAGTGAAGGAAAGTACCTGTGGTACCAATTCACATACAGCTCTTATCCTAATTTTAAATGCTTTCTGCAAGTAATCAGTTCCGGTTTTGGGCAAGAATGATCTCTGCAGTATCCCATTGGAAGGAGGAGGAGGAGGTTGCTAAAAGAAAGAAGAAGAGTTATCTTAGTCCAACAGATTGATGAAGGAAATGCAGGCAATGTCTGCATTAAAATGTTCCTCACACCGTACCGAGCAGTATTTAGCATACTCCCTTTGTGGAGAGAATACTGTTTGTCAGGGGATGTAGCCTTTTCATTGCCTTGCCTGCTAAAAAGATGCAGCATATGAATGATTTACAATGGCTTGATAACACACAAACGTTTTGGTTTTGGAATAAACCCACATTGCAGACTATATTATGACTTAAATCATGTACCATGCTAAGCTTTGGCTTGCGTATTTATGGTTTGATTAAACCACAATTGGTGGGCTTCAACAGAGTAACCCATACGGCTTACAAACCATAATGCTGTGTTCATACAGACAATACTAAAACAACTGCAGTATGATAATTATGATGCCTTGATGAAATTTAATATGCTTTCTCAAGTAGGAGTTATACTTTTCCAAAAATGAATACTGTATGCATATGTACATGGCTTTCCTTTTGAAAATCCGTGTTTTTGCACCCTCTGGTGGCAAAGAGCCTCCTAGAACACTGCCTTCAAAGATTTTGGTAACATCATATCCCCAGTGTTAATATACAAATGCAAAGCTGGATGAGCAAAAACATTTCCTTTATTAATGCCTAAACTATGGGGGAAGTGAGATTTCAAATTCCATAGAACAGTCTCCTTAAGGTATAAGTTCTAAAAAAAGGTGCAAAAAGTTAAACAGGGATTCCGTATTTATCAGGCAAAGCCAAGATAGGTCTGTTCGCTGGTATTATTCCCTACCTATTGCTATGACTTTTTATTTTTCTCACCCGCTTCTGTGACAGGTGTAAGTTATTTGATCCTTTCGGCAACAACAAGCAGTTTGTACTCTGATTAAGGCAGCTGGTGCTTAAACCTTGCTGCTTTGTTATATATAACTTGTACTTTAGGGATTGTTATGTTGAGGCTGGAGCTGGTATTTTGGATATAGCTGCGCCAATAGAAGCCATTATTATTAATCACCAAACTTATAAGGGAGGGGACAGATTTCCTCTGGCAGCAGTTTCTAAACAATGTGTGGGGAAAAAAGGGGGGATCATGCTATTTGAGTGAGAGGGCTTTTCTTGGTTACCTGGTTGCTCGCTGTGAAAATCAAGATGCTGAACTGGATGGATCTTTGATCTGATCCTGCCGAAGTTCCTTTTTTGTTTTTTTATTCTTGTTTCTTTTAAATAAAAAAAGGGGGAAGATGAACATTAATATCTCACGTTTGCAGCATCTAACATATTTTCTCTTCTACCCTTCATTTTTTATTAAATAAGTTGTAGGGAATTCCAATGAACTTGAAAGACTGCATAATGTTTTGTAACATTTTACTGGCCTAAGATTTATTTGCTTGATTTGTATCCTGCCTTTCCTCCAGGAGTTAGAAGTGGGGTATATTCCATATCTTCCTATTTTTTCCTACTGCAACAACCCTCTGGGCTAGTTGTTGTGAGAGAATGACTACTCCAAAGTCATCTTTGGTTTGAGAAACGTGGACTTGAGCCTGAATCAGCTTTAACCATCACACCACTCTGGCTCTTTTGCATCCTATCATTATTATAGAAACATCTGTTCACTCTTTGTTATTTTGCTTATGTTTTCAGAAATATGTCCCCATGCATGTTTATTTGGAAATAATTATTTTATTCATGTTTAAACTGTAGGGGAAGCAAGATTTTTTAAAATATAAATTTTATTAAAAGCTTTAAAAAGATAAAAACTACAATGTTGGGAGTAATTGGCAACTGTACATAGGACTGCAATTTTTAGTGTTATTTTTTAAAAATGTGAACATCTTCTATAATGCTATGTCCATTTAAGCTGCAGTCCTAATGATTGCAAACACATTCTTTGAAGGGATTAGTAGATGCGTGCGTAATCATAATTTTCAATTATGCCCTGTGAAAATTATTACACATGCAGTCGTTTGACAGTTGTTGGTGCTATTCAGTGGCATGCAACACCATTTTCCTGTCTTGAGCCCTCCGGGTGGCTGGGGATTACGGAACCTAAAAACCAATCCAAGGTTGGAGATGGGATGCCGTAGGATTCTGAAAAGATAAAGGAAGTTTGGGGGAGAGGATTACAGGAAACAGAGGAAATTATCATTTTTCTATTGCAAATTTCCCAATTTCTCCGAAAAGCAAGGTTTTCTGTGTTCTTTTCAATTTCTAGAGAGTTAACAGCTGAGTCAAAACTTGGTGAGGACCGACGTTTGGAGAAAGCGGCGGCGCTGCTGCGTCACCCGACAGCTGCACCCGAAGGAAGCGAGCACTTCGGCGCAGGAAGGGCGCTCTGACGCACTCCCCGTCTTCCGCCCCGCGGGGAGAGGTGGAGTTAAGTTTGTCGCACAGGCTTCCCAGTCTGCCACATCTCCCTCCCGGCTATCGACTCATCATGCCTTCTTCCCCTCTTTCCTCTTGGAGGCCTCTGTTCAATCAGTGGAGTCGGTGCTCGATTCTCCGCCGCTAAGGGTTTGAGCGGGGGAGAGAAGCAAGATGGCGGACAAGACGCCAGGCGGTTCGCAGAAGGCCAGTGGGAAGGTGAGGCCGTTTGGGGGGTCGACTTAGTTGCGCTGCGATTCCGAGGAAAGCGGGAGGCCGGAAAGAAATATACTTAGTTATCTGCAAAGCGCTGCTGGGGAGGTGGCTTGGAGCCGCGTGCCGCGTCGGAGAGATGGTGCGCAGGCAGGCGAGAGAGGAAACTCGCAGGTTGGCTTCGCGGCCTATTCTTGCCTCCTCTCATCAAGATCCAGCCGATGATAGAGCTCGTTGGATTGAACGGGAAAATAAGAGGAGTTGTGTGAGTTGAAATTAAAAGGGCGAGTCATCCCCTTTTCCTATTTTGTCCGAGACCTGGCTTCGCGCCTCTACTTTCTCTCATCTGTTCTCTTATAATTTAATCCAGCCTTACCCAACTAATGTCCTCTAGGTGTCATGGAGCACAGTTCCCATCATCCTGTGGCTATGCTGGCTAGAGATGGAATACCTTACTTTCTTTGCAGTATGTACCGAAGAGACAGTACGACTGTGGGATTTAGATGTATTTAAACATTTGTGTTTCTTCATAACTTATTAAATTTCTAATTCGAAATTAAATGTTCCAGAGGAAGCCAGAGTGGTTTACAAGAAAACTATCTTAAATACAGCGATCATAAAGCATCTCCAGCAGTGCTTAAAACAATAAATATAATATTAAAAGTTGAGTTTTTAGGAAGAAAAATACTAATGGTAGTTTAAAATATTGTTTCGCCCTGGAATGTGGTGTTATTCTACACATGCCTGGCTGAACAGTGTGTGTTTTCAGTTGCCTCTAAAGGTGGAGTGGGACTGTCTGTATTTCCCCTGGGAGAGAGTTCTATAATTGGGGTGCTGCCCCTGAGAAGGCTCTGCTCCTGGCCACCCTTCTATGAGCCAAATCAATGAGTGGGGCCGTCGGATCTTAATGTACAGCCTGGATAATATCAGAGAAGCAAATTTTTAAATACTTGGGGTCTACCTAGATATGCATGCCTCTCTTTTTCGGAGTTTTCCTTTTGCTGCCCCCTTCAGCCTGGGAAGCTTAGTCTCTGACTCATCCTTTTTAACATCCAACCTGTCATATGATATTTAGCTTCAAATAGTGCTCCCCAGTGTTTGTTTTTTATTAAAATGTGTCTGTGCTAATGGTCTTTGAATGCAACAGATAATATTAACTGAAAATATACTAAATGAAACAGCAAAGCTATAGTAATATTAAGTCTGCTTCATGGAAGATAGTTTGTCCAGTGTAAGGTTTCATGTAGAAAAAGAGTATCATTTGCTACCTGTGCAGGAGGAAAGTGTGATTGTGATGTATACATGTATTGTAGATGCGTATAGATACTTTCCTTAATACTATACAGAAGGTAGGCTTCTGTGATATCTGTTTCCTGTATTTTTATATTTAGAACTATTTAACTTTAGTTTTTTGTCATGGAGTTACATGCAATCATGTCTGCAGGCAGAAGCAGTTCATCTGAGGTAACTGTCTTAATTCTGACTTGGGTAAGCAGCTAAGTGTCATGCACGTGGGATTAGAGTTCTGGAGCCCTCTAAAATGTAGAATATAAATCAAAAGTGAGAAAATAGTTAGAACACTAGAAAAACATTATCAGGACACTACCGTAATCTTATGAAATATCTAAAGCTTTCTTTTTTAAAAAAGAAATTGCTTATGATTTTATAGTTTATTAGATAAGATGTAAGAAAAATAGGGTGAACTGAGGAAAAAAAGGATTCTGGCTTTACTTTTTATACAGCTAATAACTTATGAATGGCCATAGAAAGGGTTCTCACAGAAACCTTTATTTACTTATTCACAGGACACTTAAAAACATATGGTACTGTACATTGCAGTTCACTAGTATAGTTATGATGCTGTGTCATGTATTTTCTTTCATGCATGGCATCCATTTTATTGGGATGGATATATATTCAATTTTTTATGAAGATTTTTTTCTGGAAGATCAGGAAAGCAAAGCAACATGACATGACTAGCATTGATGAAGAAATAAAAATACTGTATTCATTTGCCATGAGTAATTGAGTCTGAATTCCAACTCTTAAGAAAAAAAATGAAATTAAGTATCAGTAACATTGAATTCCATGGAAGTGGATCAAAAACTTTCAGTAAACTAAGAAAGTTTGTGCTTTTCATAGGTAATGTAAATAACATGTTGCATCTTTTTGAAGCATGAATTAATAAAACAATACTGCCTTACTTTAATTTTTATTGGCTCTTGTCTGCATATTGTTAAGATTTTTCTGCCTATCCAGTAACTTAATTTGAGAGAACAACATAAACGATATCAGCTTTCCCTACTTTTGTATCCAGTAATGTGTTTGGACAGCATGTACCATCCTGCTCCATCATTTATGCCAATGGCCATGTTGGCCTGGAATTTTGGAATCCAGTGCAACTAGACAGCATCATTTTTGGGAAAGCTGCCATAGAATAGTGCATATGCTATGTAACATAGGTACTAAGTGAGTATAGTATAACATGACAGACCATTGGTTAGTGATAATTTATTAAGCACGACTTCAAAAAATAGGATCCTACTTTTTGAGAAAAAAATCAGTTGTAGATGGACTGTCCATATAATCCAATGGAACAGGTTAAAAGTTTTATCTATTTTGGAGCACTGTTCCGCCATTCATCATGACTTTCCCACCATTGTTTTGCACTCCAGAAAGCTGAAGCCACTCTTATCCGCTCTGCTTTTTTTTTTCTTTTTCTTTTACTTTGCCTGTGAGAACTTTGCTCTGGTTGCTGTTGTAAGTTTTTAAGTTTTTAATTGCAGCTTCTGTACAAATCTCAAATTTGGATCAAAGCTGGTTTCATGTAAAGTTTCTGAGGGCTCTCATAAATGTCCCAAGTTGGGTCCCAGATGATATCCTTCTTGAGTCTGGGCAGTGTCCTTTTGAAAGTAAAGCCTGGCTGTCTGCAGGAAAATTATGGCTCAAAATTTATGTTTTTGAAAGTGCATTACTGCTGGAACTCTTGAACGATAGCTTTACCAGCACTTGGACTATTTTAACAGTTCAAAAAGTTTCTATGCTGGTCTGTTGCCAGGTGATTTATTTGAAAAGGGCGATAAGTCTGCTTCATTTATCACTAATCTTTGCTTAGTGAAATATAAAATATTTCTTTTCAGGAGCTTTTCAGGAGCTTTTCAGATCAGGTTAAATCACACTGGTTATTGTGGAACTTTGGCATCTGTTACAGCCTTCTAGATGGCTTGTGATTTAAATCTTTTCCATTATAAATACTGGATTGCTTTTACTAAAGCTAGATTAAATGTCTCACCGTCATCTAAATTGAAACATAGATTTGTTTGGTGGGGGGGATCCCTACTGCACAAAGATTTTGTTTTTACGATAGTAAAGAAGTAGCTGGTGGACCATGTTCTCCTAGTTTGTAATGTTTACGTAGTGTTCACCAGGATCTAATCTGTCCTATATATAAAACATATAAAATAAGCTGATCTTATTTTAAATATGCTACGTTCCTACTGATTTTCAGAGATACCAAGGTAACTCTTGCAACTGCCAAATTTTGGGTGGTGGCTATCAGGTTAAAGGATATAACTAGTGAATTAGTTAGGAATAGTTGAATTTAAAAAAATAAGGTATTTATTTAGAACATTTTCTCTTTCTGGATAGACATCATTTGTTCCTTTAATGCATTGTTCTGGCTTTTTATAATGTAAAACACCCAGAGTCATTGGGAATCAAACATTCTTTAAATCTGTGTGAATGAATAAATGAGAAAGATCTCTTTCGTGCTCCAAAGTGCAGGACAAGAAATAATGGATTTAAATTATAGGAAGGCAGATTCCAGTTGAATGTTAGAAAAACATTCCTAACAGTAGGAATGGTTTGACAGTAAAATTAATTAGTGGTTGTGGGGGTCTTCCTTCATAGAGACTAGACAGCCACCTATCAGGGGTGCTTTAATTTCCATTCCTGCAGTGAACAGGGAGTTGAATTCAGTGGCCTCTGTGGACCCTTCCAACACTGAGACTCTATAACTACAGTCTGAACTGTCGTCTGGGTTTGGTTTACAAGTTAAGACAAACTATAATGTGACCTAATTTGTTCTATCAGATAGGTTTATGGTAACTGCGACAAGATTATTGTATGCAAAAAGTTGGAAAAGCAATGAAATGTCTCCAGTGGAAGATTGGATTATAAAATTAACTGAACTTGCAGAAATGACAAAGCTGACCATTTTGGTCAAGGAAAAAATGATAAAGGCTTTTTTGAAAGACTGGAAACCTGTTGGACTTTTTGTTGAAAGAAGAAAAGGTTGGGGAAAATTTAAGATGATAATTACTTGATAGAAGGGAGGAAGGCATAATTGTATGTTTTTCTTTTTTTTAAAATTTCTTTTTTCTCTTTTTTCTTATTTTCTATCTTTGTTCTTGTTTGTTTTGTATATTTTACTACATTGAAAAATTCTAACACACACACACACACACACAAATAAATGTATTTTAATCCTACATATCACATACGATTTGGTTGAGTTTTCTGAGATACATGCTGTTGACTGAACTTCTAATTGTTTAGAAAATTCTCTTCAAAACCTGAAGGAATAACAAATTATTTTAAATTTTAGGTAATGAGCCATGAAAGTAATATTATGAATTGGATGAAATGAAGCACTGCTTTCTCTCAGTTTCTTTCTTTGAATCTTGCCCATTCACACTTCCTTTCAACAGTGACTTCTATTATTATATTCCAAGCAAATGTAAGACTCTTTCTTTTCAATTCACAGGTCAGTTATTAGGATCATCTCCCTTTCTGGAAAAAACAGTACTTAAACAGTTTTATATTCCTACTTTCTATATGCTGATGGCAACTCAGTCATTCTTGAGCTGCTGCTTCATATTTTTGGAGGAATAATAAGTCCTTTAAGTAACTGTACAAGTTTTATATCATTTGGAGAGTCCTAGAAATCTAAGTTGAATTTTCCAAATAATTTTACACTTGGAAAATTGTAAAGTAAACACTTGTGAGTTTTGATTAATATTGGAGGTCAGTTAAAATGAAAACTTTATGCCTATATAAAAGTTTAAAATCATTAAATGCTTCCTGATGATGATGATTTATTGAATTTTTACAAATTTTAGGCCAGACTTCCAGAAACAGCACGGGCCACTGGATCTCCAGAGACTCATGTAAGTTTATAGTGTAAATGGAAACTCTGCTTCTGTAGTGGATTTATATTAACATATATGTGAGCTGTTGGGTACTGGAAAATAAATTATAGAACTACATGTAAGATTAACTTTTCTGTGGCTTTATTTTAGTAGCAGTTACATTAATCAGTTTATGCAAAAGGATAGTTCTATACTACTACTGTTTAATAATAGTGGAACTTTGATTACAATAATTACTTTTTTTCATTAAAAACCATACATTTAATTCTTTATTTCAGTCATAGGCAATCATAAAAAGAAATAAAGCTACAGAGGTAACAAGTAAAATTGTTGCACTACTAACTTATATAAGATATAATTCATAAAATATAATGTAAAGCAATTAACAAAAATAAATGTGATTAAACTACATGTCTAAACCTAATCATAAATTCAATATTAGTTTAAGTTTAATGTAGAGAACAAATTTTATTACAACCATGGGTCAACTGAGTAAAATAGTTAAAAATACTAAGCAATAATGTAAAAACAGTGGGTCTCTTATTAAAGGGTACACCCACATAATCTGGCATTTAGAGATTTTCAGTCTCATGTCACTCCAAGATAGACAAGAAGTGAATTAAATTAAGATTGCCTAATAGTCAAGTGGCCAGTTCACAAAGCAGTGTTTGTGTTGTTTCATTTTGCAGTCTGTGCTGTCGCAAAATGTTTGCAACATTGTATATAATAAAGCTTTTTTTAAAAAAACTGTATCTCTCCACATTTGGTGAGGACATCTAGCTTCCTTTGAAGATGCCATTAACTTTAAAATCCTAAATACTTTGGGTCAGGAGTAATCTTCCCTGTTTTGCAGTAATTCAAACTTGCATACAATTTTCACAGGCAGCTTGGTATGGAATACAGTATAGTCCAAATAAGAGACTATTAGAATGTGCATGATGGTAAGGGAGCTGTCCTAGAATAGATGGTTTGCTATTGCTATATCCACCTAAAGTCAAAAAGGGCATACTTAGGCCATCTATACATCCAGTAGCTATGCTGAATTCAAAGCTACTTTTAAATTATACAGTCAGACTCAGCTAAATATGTGAAACAAACCACTAACTACAATTGTCTTTTATGTTTGGACATGTGAGATGAAGTGGGTAAGTTAAATTGTTGGACCAGGACTGGAAGAGCCAGGTTTTAGTCCATCTTCAGCCATAGAAGCTCATTGGTTGACTTGGGCAATCGCTTGGCCCAGTCTACCACCCAGGGTTATTGTGAGAAAAAAGGAAAAGGGATGCAATGTATGCTGCCTAGAGTTTCTGGAGGAAAAGCAGGATATAAATCTAGCAGTTAAGTAAATGTGTGTGTGATAGAATGTACATTTAAGGTGCTTTGTAGAAATGTTTAAGCTCATGTAAACCAGCAAGAGAGATTATTAGGATATAAGCAAAATAATTTGTGAATTTCCATTTAGCTCTGAGGCAAGACAGGTTTGCTCAGTGGCATGCAAAGACAGGCTGTAGTCTTCGTTTAGTGACTGCCTCGGACAGTGACCTTTTGCAGTTACGATGGTGATGAAAAAGTAACTTTGCTTTCGTACTAGAATACAAAAGAGCTCATTTTCATGTTCACAGCCACATTGGCAATGTGTATTCTGTAAACTTAACAGAAGAATTTTGCATCAGGTGATAAAATTGTGTTGTTATGAATTAATATTTTTCTCTCTTTTAGCCACTCTTAGAAAGCAAACTTAAGGCATTCAGTATTGGCAAGATGAGCACTGCCAAGAGAACTTTAAGCAAAAAGGAACAGGAAGAATTGAAAAAGAAGGTAATTATCACAAGGGATTCGACAAGTCAACTCTTGCAATTTTTTTTATCAACACAGCAAAGTAAGGTTTGGTTTTAGGTAATGTTTCATTACAGCAACTTAGTTCTCCCACCTTTCTTATTGATCAGTAGCTGAGAAATGGCATAAATCTATGAAGCAAAGTTAAATCCATGAAGGCTTCACTGGTATATCATTGCCAAGCTTTTCTAGGCCAAACTACTTGTGTCCTGGAAACAGCATCCTCAACAGTCAGTGCTGCATAGAATTCACAATGGTCTGCTAGCCATCATACTTCCATATTTCTTCCCCTTTCTTCCTAGGATACCTGTCTTCTTCTTTTGCCAGCTTAGCAACAGTCCCATTTTCCTATGAGAAAGTTATGAAAAACTAAGTGTATGTGTGACAGGATAGCAGAGAGCAATAGGCAGATTTACTCATTGGTTTTCTTCGACCCCCACAACCACTAATTCTTTGTTATGCTTTTTTCTGCTTTTGGTTAAAATGAATCTAAAGGTGTCTTTTAAAAAAAAACTTTGAGATTGTTAAGATTATCAAAATAATTGAATCTGACTGCTTGGAGATAAAATATGTAACAGTATATTTGCTATTAGTTTATTTTTAAAAAATTTTTGATTGCAAAAAAATACATAAAAGTGGTTTAACAAAAAAGTGAAAAAACAAAGAGAAAAAATGTGTTAATATATCATTATAACAATAAACCATTTCAATTCTATATATGCTTATCTAATACAAATATTATTCAGGTACGTATATGGAGAATCCATTTACGTTATCCAGGTGTCAAATTCCATGGACTAGGAATATAGTTCAAAAGAATATTATCCTCTGAAAGTTTTAGCTTTTGCCACGCAATCATATTTATATAGTCCACTATATAGGGCATTGTAAAACTGATCTTTGTTTTTATTTATCTACAACTAACCTAATGTAGTCTGCTTCTTGCCTAGTTTTTATAAACCCTGCTTGATCGTTCTTAATAATGAACAGTATCACCTGCTATAATCTGTTTGCTAATACTGCTGTTAAAATTTTTGTGTTGACATTAATCAGTGAGATTGGACAATAATAAGCACACCGATCTTTACCTGTTTTTGGTATAACTGTAATATAAGCCTGATTAAATGCTGGTATTAAAATTTTCTTATCAAATATTTCTTCATACACTTGGCAAAGTTTTGACACCAAAAGATCTATAAATGTTTTGTACCACTTGATAGGGAATCTATCTAATCCTGGTGTTTTACCACATGCCATTTTTAAAATTATTTGTTTAATCTCTAGCTCAGATAGTGAAGCAAATAGGAGTTGTTTTTGTGTTGTACAAATTCTTTATCATTCAATAGAGAAACATTAAGATACTAATTTCTTGATACCTTAACTGGTTTCTGAAACATACATTTCAAGGTGGTTGCACTATGATCAAATACATAACAAACATCAATGTTACGTTCTTGAATTTGATGATATAAAGTCAACAATATTAAGAAATAAGCCTAAAAAAATCCTGGTGCACATTTGAATAAAATGTATATTCTCTTTTAGTTGGATACACCAAATGCCAAGGGCCTATTAAATTCAGTTCTTCCATATAAGTCTCAATTATTTCCCTCACTAATTATTGTTTTTTCCATGCTGGTGTATTTCTATCAAGCTCAGGCTCCAATATTCAATAAAATCTCCTATTATCAATTTATCATAAATACACCCATTCAAGTATTGAAAAAAATCATAAAACGTGGTAGGAGAATCTAAATTTGGTCCCTAAACATTAACCATAGCTATTACAGTCTGCTATTTTGGGACACAAAATTAAATAACGCCCATTTACATCAGTGATGACTTGTATATCAGTTGGGAATCCTTTTCAAACCAAAATGGCCGCACCTTTAGCTTTTGTCAAAGTATCTGTGAGGTAAACACAGATACTTTCATTAACAGAGATTTACCCTGTTCCATTAAATGAGTCTCTTATGAATAAGCAATATCTGCCCTTAAGAATTTTAAATACGCTAAGATTACATTTGTTTCTTGGATTCTTATTAACACTTTTACATTTAAACTTACTAACCTCATCCATAAATTTTATTTTGGCCCACTTTTCAATATTCCCCCAATACCAATTCATTTTACAACCTGTACCATTTAACAAATATCTTTTGTTATTTCTATATTTAATATTTAACAGATTTAACAGATTTTCTAGTATTGTTCACAGACATAGAACCTCCATAAAAACTCAATTTAATGTTCAAATACCATTCTTTTATGCATATATAGAATCTATACTTAAAGGGAAAAAATGATTATGTGCATAAAAGTAAAAAAAACAAGCAAGTGACATAATAAAAACGATTAAAAGGAATCTTAAATGAGGGGAAAAAAGTAAAGGAAGGAAGGAAAAAAAAATCACAGAAGTTGACGACTTCCCAAAGGGGATGGCAGGGTGATTTCATCTCTCTTTTTACACTGAAAATTACAAAACAGTTTTAAAGTTAGTAATTGAAGGGGGAAAAAAGTACTGTGTGTTAAAAATAAGTGATAGAGTTGGCGGTATGCCCAGACCCTCTATCTTGAAATAACCAAAACAAACACAAATAGGGGTACAGAAAAAAAAATACTGGCATGCAGACTTTTTAACTAAGGCTTTTACTGTAGGCAAACTCTGACTTCTACCACAGCAGATTCCATAGAATGAAACACAACAAGCAAATTTTAATGATAGGATCAAGTCCTCTGCTTTCAACGAATTATCAAATTTGTGAATCTGATCTTGATGATTAATGTAGAATGTAGCTGGAAAATGCATGAAATATTGAAGTATTGATTTGGCAAGACTTTGAGCTTTTTAAAACATCTTTCTCTTTTCTGAAACCTCTTTAGTAAAATCAGGATAAATTGATGTGTTGCTTTGATTAGAGCCCCACTTCAAAGGAGGCTACTGATTCCTGGTGAAATATATGTAAAATCTCATTTCTTGTGGTAATACGGAGGACTTGCACAATAATAATATTACCAGTCTTCCTTCTCATTGAAGGAATTTTAATCACATGGTCAATCTCAACTGGAAAGTCCATTCCCAAAGAAAGGAGCTTTCTGAAAAAAATCTTCCATAAATTTGGCCAGGTTTGATTGATTTGGAAGGCTTTAATACCATTCACATGTAGGTTTTTCCCATGCAGTTGTGACTCCAGATAAGTAATTTGTTTATCCAAAATATTATGACTGGCTTGAGTTATAGTCTTACGAGCACTTAAATGATCCTCATAGCAAGCCATTTTTTCTTTCATTGATTTTAAATCACATTTAAGCTCTGCCAGATCTTGTTGAATCAGCTTCAAGAGTTATACCTGAGCCAGGATCTCTTTTAGTAAAGTAGCAGAAGAATTCTTCTCCGCTGTCTTGCCTGGCTCGGCAGATAGTGACATAGATGAATTTGAGCCAGCCATTGAATGCTTAGGTCTAGTTGCCATTCCAATAACTTGTTAAAAACAAGATAATAAGTAATGAAAAGTTTTATTTACTGAATGATGAAAGTCCTTATCCACACAGTCTGATAATACTGAAGTTTGAAAGTCTTTTAATCAGAAGAGAGACAAGAGACGTGCACTCACTGTGGCATCCCAGACAGGAAGTCTTGTATATTTACTATTAGTTAAGTTAATGGTTTGTGATACACTCATCCCAAAGTGGGCCAATTCAAGTTTTATCTTCAGGTTGAAATCTGCTTGAAAGGGAAGATTACCTGCTCTACTTCATTATCATATTATTTGTTCTCAGTGGTGTAGTAGTTTTTATGAAAAACCTTGAATTAGAACAAATTTCCTGGGAAGTAACTTAGGTTATTTTGATTTAAATTTAGTAAATGATATATACCACATTAATATTTGCAGGTAGTTGAAATAAAATATTTGATTAGGAAAAATAAGCATATTGATTGTATTAAGCACATTGAATATTGTTTAAATGTTAAACTCAAATTCAAACCTTAGTGGCACATTATTATGATTGGACTATTTTAGAAGTCACAAAAACTTTGTTTAAATTCAAAGGAAAAATGTTCAAGGCAAGTACTATCCTTAGGGACAGCTTTTGAAAAGAGTTAATTGAAGCCTTTGAAGTATCATATTTGATGAAAATACTCTTTTCCATGCAGTTTCTTGTATGTCTGAAAACCTGCTGTTGATAGTAGAGAGATCCTCACAGATGTCTGGAATTTGTTATGGGTCGGAAGCTGGATATAATCGATGGTTACATTAATGCTGATAATTTGTGTAACATTTTGGTGACTATAGGAGGATGAAAAGGCAGCTGCAGAAATATATGAAGAATTCCTTGCTGCGTTTGAAGGAAGTGATGGCAATAAAGTGAAAACATTTGTCAGAGGAGGTATTGTTAATGCCTCTAAAGGTAAGGCGTACTACAGTATTATCTAGGAAAGATATTGGGTTCCAAGAATTATTTTAAATAAAATATTAAATTTTACTTAATTTTGGGGGTGTTGCCTTCAAATTTGTATTTCAGGTAGATTACAATAGTGGGCATTTATTAAGATACTGTTATACTGTTAATGGTACTTTCTCACTTGAGTAACTAGATGGTTATAACTGTAGTTTTCATTATATTCATAGAATTTACTGTGTTTCCTTAAATTGAATATAATATATTTCTTGATAAATATGTTGATTTTTGTTTCAAGTTAAAAATAATTTCTAGTACATTTTCTTCAGTGGAGGAATAATCAGTGATTTGGCAAGGTAATGCATGTCATGCAAAGTTCCTTGTTTTTGTGATTAAGAGATTTTATCCTTATACTTTTTAAATAGCTGAACCCATCTTCTCCATTTTTCCTGGCAGTAGTCCTATGAAACAGAGAAGTTTCAAAAGTAGTTTTGAGTAGGATGTTGTGGGCAGAGGTCTTTTTTAAAAGGGCAGCTTTAAGCATGGTCGCACCGGTATGTGCACTTAAACTAGCTCTTTAGAAACTTGCTAGTGTTTCAGTTAGTTATTTTTATGATGTTTGTCTCACCAGAACATGAAACAGATGAAAAGCGAGGAAAAATCTACAAACCTTCATCACGATTTGCAGATCAAAAAAATCAGCAGAATCAGTCATCTTCTAATGAGAGACCTCCATCTCTTCTAGTGATAGAAACCAAAAAGCCAGTAAGTTTAGATTTTTTAGAAATATTTGTTACTGCCCTGTTCAAGTATATTGGTAACTTATTTTATATAGTTATATAGCGTTTTTCAGATGAATTTTGTAAAGCAGTTTATATAAAATTATATGTGGAGAGCCTTTGAGTCAGTATTGACTCCTGATGTCTGCTTGAACTACTTCCTGTAGTTTTCTTGGCAAGGTTTTTGGAAGTGGCTTGCCATTGCATCATTCTTAGGGCTGAGAGAGTGAGTGACCCAAGGTCACCCAGCTGACTTTGTGCCTAAGGTGGGACTAGCACATGTGGTCTCCCCATTTCTAGCCTGGTGCCTTAACCACTACACCAAACTGGTCTCTGTATGAAAATTCTTATAGTGCCAACTCATGGCTTGACATTAACAATGAAATGGTCCATAATCTAATTACTTGTAGTTGCTTTTAATTTAAAAATATTGTTAGTAAGGAAGTATGGAAAATTAGTATGGAAAATCTATATAATCATTCTAGTTTATAAAGATAAAAATATTTTCAGGAAAAAAACAAAGGCTTCTGTAAGAGTCAGCGGGTTTCTCTCTTTTACCCAGAAATGAGGGGATATTGTTTTGGTTTAGCCACTTGCCAAAATGAAATTCAGGGCCATATTCTTTTTGTTCTGCTAATTTTCAGTCATAGTAGTTTTATTCCATTTAGCTGTATGATCCTCTAGCTGTAGACTGAAACAGTAAAATTTATGAAACCTATTTGCTTTCTTACCTGCTTATTTTTTAATTTAATTTTTTTTAAAAAAAGTTCTATAATTGAAGCTCTCAGGTGGATGTCCATTAGAGATCAGATAAAATTCATGTAACTTACTCCAAAGAAATGGCAATCTGTTTAAGCTCCAGTTTGCCATTAAGCTCCAGTAGTCTGTGGGAACTAAGCATTAGAACTGTAACTGTGCAACCTGACTGGGAGCATATTTGATGCTCACTTAACTGATGTTAATAGCATTGTATTTTTATTTTGTTGTAAGACTGTGATATAGTCTATCCATTTTATTTATTTACTTTATACTCTACCTATTTGCAATCTTTATCAGACACCTAATATTCTATACAGGTAGTCCTCACTTAACAACCATTCGTTTAATAACAGTTTGGAGTTATGATGGCCTCAGAAAAGGTGCTTTACAGCCCATAAAGCACTTCTTGCCATCGTAAAACGTCATGTTGCCCCCTGGTTATGTGGCTACATTTTGGGTGCTGGCAACTGGCTCACATTTACAATCAATCGCCAAGCGCCCCACGATCATATGATCGCCATTTGTAATCTCTGCCAGCTTCCCCAAAAAGTCAGTGCAGGGAAGGTTGTATGCGGAGGAGATTCAGGGAAACCTCTCCGCAGTATGCAGGAAAAGAGCTCAAATCCTGAAGATCTGAACTCCATTCCTGCACACTGCCAAGAGGTTTCCCCTCCTCTCCCAGTGGTGTGCAGGAACAGAGCTCAAATCCTGCAGATTTGAATTCTGTTCCTCCAGCCCCATGAAGGATTTCCCCTCCATCCATGGAGGGGAGGACAAACCCTTTGGTGGGCTTTAGGAACATTTGAGAGTGAAAGGGCTCTCTGCCAGGAGGATTTCAGCTCCACCTTTTGCTCTCAAAGAGCTGCCTGCTGGGAGGATTTCAACTCTGTGGAGCTGAAGTCTTTCAGCAGACAGCTCTTTCATTCCGTCTGCTTAACGACCCAGGAGATCGCTTAACATCCGCAACCGGGAGTGCCTGGATTGTGGTCGTTGAGTGAAGCAGTCATGTGAGCATCTTGCTTAATGACCGCTTTGCTTAATGATCGAGATTCCAGTCCCAATTATGATTGTTAGGTGAGGACTATCTGTAGTGCATCAGTAGTGGAAGGAAAGGATCTTTGATGATTTACTGTTGGTTCTTGATACTGCCTTGATAACATTAATTGTATATGTGCAATAACTAATAAACTCCCAGTGCAGCAACTTACAAGCTGTATTATTTTTCTTTATTTATATTTCAAATTTGTCACTGCCCATCATTGCAGAGTGACTCTGGGCGTGCGCAAATAAATAAATAAATAAAATATTTTATGTGTACATTTTCTTATCCTTTCCTTTTTCCAGAATGGATTTTCCAAGTATACACTTAAATATTTATACTGGTAGAATAGTAAAAATAGCAGTTGTGTATGTTATTAAACATTCTTCAAATTGTTTCAGCCTCTGAAGAAGGGGGAAAAAGAAAAGAAAAAGAGCAATTTGGAGCTTTTTAAAGAAGAACTGAAACAGTGAGTATTTTATTTATACAGTGGGGCAAAAAAGTATTTAGTCAGCCACCAATTGTGCAAGTTCTCCCACTTAAAAAGATGAGAGAGGCCTGTAATTTTCATCATAGGTATACCTCAACTATGAGAGACAAAATGGGGGGAAAAATCCAGAAAATCACATTGTCTGATTTTTAAAGAAATTATTTCTGATTTTTAAAGAATTTATTTGCAAATCATGGTGGAAAATAAGTATTTGGTCAATATCAAAAGTTCATCTCAATACTTTGTTTCTGATTTTTAAAGAATTTATTTGCAAATCATGGTGGAAAATAAGTATTTGGTCACCTACAAACAAGCAAGATGTCTGGCTCTCACAGACCTGTAACTACTTCTTTAAGAGGCTCCTCTGTCCTCCACTTGTTACCTGTAGTAATGGCACCTGTTTGACCTTGTTATCAGTATAAAAGACACCTGTCCACAACCTCAAACAGTCACACTCCAAACTCCATCTGATTTTTAAAGAATTTATTTGCAAATCATGGTGGAAAATAAGTATTTGGTCACCTACAAACAAGCAAGATGTCTGGCTCTCACAGACCTGTAACTACTTCTTTAAGAGGCTCCTCTGTCCTCCACTTGTTACCTGTAGTAATGGCACCTGTTTGACCTTGTTATCAGTATAAAAGACACCTGTCCACAACCTCAAACAGTCACACTCCAAACTCCATACTTATTTTCCACCATGATTTGCAAATAAATTCTTTAAAAATCAGACATAATTTCTTTAAAAATCAGACAATGTGATTTTCTGGATTTTTCCCCCCATTTTGTCTCTCATAGTTGAGGTATACCTATGATGAAAATTACAGGCCTCTCTCATCTTTTTAAGTGGGAGAACTTGCACAATTGGTGGCTGACTAAATACTTTTTTGCCCCACTGTAGATTAAAATAAATAGGGACAATCAAAATAGTTGCGGAAGTAGATTTCTTGGTGTATGCAAAGGATTTGTTTTATAATAGGTAGGGCATCAGTCATTTGCTTTGAATTGTAAAAACAATCTTGTTTATGAAAATGAAGCAGTTATATTTTGAAATTAGAGGTTTCTATATAAAATTAAAGTTTGCTTGATAAAATGTCATCTATGAACTTTTGAATTCAAATGAGAAAGCATATGAAACAAAAAATAAAATAGAGTATTAAAATAGAAAACACAGTCAAACTAACACAACAAAGATAGTAAAATGAAGCATAAAAACTTTTAAGGAGAGCAAAA